TCAACGGGGCAACTTTACAACCCGGGCAAACCGCCTCAGCGCCCTTCCATCTTTTGCTCCAGTCCCGCGACTCATCAGCATGAATATTCATTATTTGATGATATTTCTCGAGCAGGCTCTCTCTCTCTCTCTCTCTATCTCTATCTATCTCTATCTTTGTTTATCTATCTCTTTCTCGCACCCTCTCCTCGTAACGCAGGATCGTTAGATGTTAACGACGATCGGTAGCTACGAACGAGAGACCGAATGAACGATCGATCGGGGGTGAGATTGGTTAGAGAGAACAACGTGACGAGACTTCTCACAAATTTTGCCCATTTTACACGAATCCGTATCCTCCTTGTTTCCCCGATAACAATATCTATTAAATATTCGAGCTACGTTTACGATGACAAGAAGAAGAAAAAGAAGAAGAAGAAGAAGAAGAAGTAGAAGAAGAGGAAGAAAGATGAAAACAGAAGAAGAAGAAGAAGTAGAAGAAGAGGAAGAAAGATGAAAACAAAAGAAGAAGAAGAAGTAGAAGAAGAGGAAGAAAGATGAAAACAGAAGAAGAAGAAGAAGAAGAAAAAGAAGAAAAAGAAGAAAATAAACATTGTGTGCATTTAGCTTTCTTTTTTCTTTTCTTTTCTTTTATTTTTTTTCTTCTTTTGTTCAACGTTAATCCTTTTTCTATCCTCCTTTCTTATCAGTTCTGAAAGAGAGGTATATATATATATATATATGGACGATTGCGTTTAACCTGTTTGTTGGTTAATTTTATCGAATAATCATTATGCTGACTCGCGGATCTAGAAAATGGATCACGTAGGGATATATATATATATGTATATATAGCTATGTATATATCTGTCGCACGGTTTATATCCAACTCCTCTTCACACGCGTGTGTTGGACGCAAATGTAAGAGGGGTTGTGAAGTGAAGTGATGGACGGTCGAAAGTCAGTTCACTCGTAGTTCGGTCGATGGTCGGTAGCTCCAGCTGTCTGTAGTTGTTATTGTTGTTGTGCTTGCTATTGGTGTTGATGGTGTTAGTGGTAGATGGATAGATAGGTAGATAGGTAGATAGGTAGATAGGTAGATAGGTAGGTAGGTAGGTAGGTAGGTACTACTAACTCGTTGCGATCCTGGAAATGGGTGTTGAGGTTAATAGCCACCGTAAGAAGGGTAGCTCTAACGTGCCCTCTCATTCTGAAATATTCACAAGTACGGACTCTACGCCGAGTCGAGAATCTGCGGTACCGGAGATATTTGCCGATGATGTCTTATGTATTACGATTTATCACATACACATACACACACAAACATACATATGTATATATATATATATATATGTATATACCATAAGGAACATATGCAAATGTATCCGTGTTTTTATGTATAAGAAGTTCGTTTATATGTAGAAGGGTATATGATAGAGAGAGAGAAAGAGAGAGAGAGAGAGAGAGAGAGAGAGAAGAGGTATAGCAGGACTAGATAGGGTTAGCGAATTAATGAAAGCCAATCCGGAAAGGCTGGGTGGTCTTCCTATCTCCTTCCCTCACCCTTAACCTTTCCTTTTCTCTTCTAACATCACCACCGCACCATAAACAACCCCGAGAGATTTGGATAACGGACAAGGGCTCCGGACACCATCCCTATTCTTCCGATATATATATATATATATATATATATATATATATATATATGTATGTATTCGAAACCGAAGTTAACTCTTCTACCGTAAGAATCATCTTGATCCTTCTATCGTTCATTTCGATATCGTTTCCTCGTACTCTAAACTGTTTAAAGTTAGAAATGTGAAAAAAAAAAAATAAAAAAAATGAAAGAAAGAAAAAGACAATGTACATTGTTTAAGAAAAATAATATATAATATCTCTTTTCGTTGGATGGAGGATATAAATATCGAAGTATACGATGCGACATTTAGCATATCGTAAAGACGCCTTTTTGTATTATTGTCGTGAAGGGCTCTGAAAAAGGGCTGAAGTAGGGATGTCGAAAGCGATAGACAGGGTGAAAAGAGGAAGAGAGAAAGTGCGTTGTGTATCTCGACCATAAAGATTTTTACCAACCAAAGTGAGAGAGAATGAGAGAAAGAGAGAGAGAGAGAGAGAGTGAGAGAGAGAGAGAGAGAGAGAGAGTTTATTGTCGCGAGTTATAAATGACACCGAGGACGTACGCCAAATATTCAAATGACATTTTTATCCGTGGATCCTTTCGGGCGGAAGGATTTTGACGAATCGTACGCGGAAGAAGGTGGAAATGCTAAAAAGTAGGGATAGAGGGTGGAGGGATGAAACGTTCTAATGCGGCTTTATCGAAGAAGACATTAGGCGCAAGAGCAAGAGCAAGTTTATTGAGAAGGGTTTGGAAAATTTTCTCTTGTATGACATTTACTTTTTTTTTTTTTTTTTTTTTTTTTTCTTTTCTTTTTAGTTTACTTTAATTGCAATAATTTTTATACTTCAAGATAATACGTATCGTAGATCTATCATCATACGAATCAATCGATAGTGTAAGAGAAACAACGATATACTATACTCATATCATTCATTCAATCTCCTGAATGAATAATAAATCATTAATAAAGTAAATTTAATATTTATTAATAAAATAACGTTACGTGATAACGTGATTGTTATTATTATGCATTAATCAATGGAAAGATGATTTTTAACGTTTCGATAAAAATCTTTCATTAATGTATTACACGTTAATTTTATAAATTAATTATGACATTTATTGTTTATAATAAATCAATGAAACACGATCATTGATATCGATCGTTTCTATTACTCATTGTATTGATATTATGAAAGAAATATTAATGAAAAGATTTATCATTAATTATGATAAAATTATTGATTGGCAAAATATTTGGATTGGAAAGAAGAAGAAGAAGAAAAAAAAAAAGAAAAAAAAAAGAAGAAAGAGAAAGAAAAAATAGATAAAAGATATAGGGAAACGTCAGTCCCTTTATGTTTCATTCTTCTCTCTCTCTCTCTCTCTATATATATATATATATATATCTATATATATATATATATACATATTTTTTATATTTTTTTTTTCGTTAAGAATTTATCTCGAAGCGACGTTCTCTTCTTTCTTAATGCGTCTACAGTCTCTCTAACCGACTGCTACGTTCATCATCCATCCCCCCTTTCTTCTTGCATCTCCCTTTTAGAAAATTCAAGTTCGAGCCGAGAGACCTGAGGGTGGGTGGTGGTGGTGGTGGTGGTGGTCGGGGTGGGCTGATACGAAAATACGGCGATTTCTCAGGGTATTAAGTGCGCGCCCGCGACCTTTGATATTAATAACAATAATAGTACAAAGTCGTGGTAAGGAAAAGGGCGAGAGGTGGTTGTAAGGGTGAAAGGGGAGGGTAAGCCTTATGAGAGGTTGAGTGGGTGGTGGTAGTAGGCGGGGAAGGGTGGGTACGTCGTTCGCTGGTTCAAGAAAAAAAAAGAAAAAAAAAGAAATAAAAGAAAAGAAAAAAGAGGGAGGGGAAGAGAGAAAGAGAGAGGGAGAGAGAGAGAGAGAGAGGTTACTTTTCGCGGCCAGATACAAATTACAGCTCATTTTTATGCCATTTTAATATCGCCACGCGTCATTAAATAACCCTCGTTCGTACCTTTTGCCTTCACCCTCTCTCCCATCCCTTCCCAACTCACCCATCCACCTCGGCCCTTTAACAACAGGGCACTACCTCGACTACGTAGTCGGTCTCTTTTTCGTTTTCGTCTTCGTCGTCGGCATCTTATAATATAGCAGCGCGTTACCACGAGAGAAATGAAATATTCGTACGCACCCATTAGAGAAGCCTCCTCTTACCCCTCTTAACTCTCTGCCTCTCGTTCTCTCTCTCTCTCTCTCTCTTTCTCTCCCTCCTTCTCACTCTCATCTCTCCGTCACCGAAAAATGGTACGAATCGCGTTGAAGGAAACGTACCGGCAACGAAAAATCGACGGAGATTTTCTTCGTAGCTGCGAAGAAAATCTCTTGCCGGTAGGGGAGGGTGGGGGTTGGGGTGGGAGTGGGCGGAGAGGCGGGGCGAGGCAGGGCGGGGAATCTAAGCGCGCTTAAAGGAATTTACGTACTTACGGTATATATATGAGCTATGGATGTGAAATTGAAGAAGCGAAAAAAAAACAAAAAACGAAAAACAAAAGAAAAAAAAGCAAAAAGGAAAAATCAAAGGAATATCGGTAGAGGATCGAAAGCGTAATTTCGTATGAGAAAATAAAACTATGGAAAAAGGATGACAAGTGGGGTATAAGGTAGGGATTGAGGACGAAGAGAAGAGTTAGAGAGAAGGGATGAAAAGAAGGGGAAGAAAGAGGGAGAAATTTTCTAATAAGAGGAAACTATACCCTATCGTTTTTGAAATAACGTGAATATAACGGGTTGCTAATTTTTCCGCGTCGGATAATGTGCGCTCGAGCGGAACGTTAGATCGTAAAAAACTCGTCGATTCCTTTTTGAACGCTTCCGCGAGATATCGTTCCGCGATTTAACACGACGGAAGTTGAATGGGTTTTTTTTTTTTTTTTTTTTTTTTTTTATTTTTTTTTTTTTTTCTTTTTATATGGCATACGTACATACATAGTAACGTAGCATTTTAACTTTATGCTAATTCACGTTTAGGTAGATACAAGAGAAAACGTATAGGGTATCGTTGTGTATCGAAGAAGTATCCTTCCCCTTTTTGAAAACGCGCACCCTACTGCTTTTCATCTCTCTCTCTCTCTCTGTCCCTCTGTATCTATCTATCTATCTCTTTTTCTTTCTCTTTTTAAGGCAAAGTTATAAAGAAGAGAGACACATTATATAATGTGCATCGAACATATTCATAACTCCCATTTATATTGCGTAGAAAGTATAGTCGGTTGGTCCTTTTTTATCCTCTTTCTCTCTCCCTCCCTCCCTCTATCCTCCCCTCTCTTTGTCTGTTTGTCTCTCTCTCTTTTTTTATTCTTTATATATTTTTTTATTCCAGGGTTGGAGAGAGGATCGCGGGGTTGGAGTGGGGAGAGAGGAACAACGTTCGTACGGCACGCTCGCGAATCCTTGGAAAAACGCGATTTTATCGTCCGCCTTTTTTTACGACATGGTAAGGAGCATACTTTTTAAATCGCAACTTATTTTCTTTCCTTTCTTTTTTTTTTTTTTTTTTTTCTTCTATTTTTTTTCCTCCCTTCTTCTTGAGATTTACGAGATCCAAAAAAAGTTATCCAACCTTACGAATATCACGGTCGCGTTTTAAATATTCTCGCGAGAGAACGAAATTGTCGATCTTTCATAACGTAGCTCTATAAGACAAACTGTGTTTTCTTCTTTTTTTTCCCCTCCACCACCCTTCCCCTCCCCCTTCTTCTTCTACCCCCTATTACTTCTTTTTAAAACTTAACAATTCGACTTTTGTTTGATTTAAGAAGAAATGGAAAAGGATAGGACGAATAGGATAATGATGAAATACAAATTGATTGATTCATTCATTGATATATTATTTATCGATTGATTTATTTTATCATATATTTTTTCTTCTTCTACGATCATTTTATCATCATCATCATCATTATTATTATTATTATTATTATTATTATTATTAAATTGATTTCATTGACGTTATCTTTATTAATGTGAATTTTAATCAGAAATATTTCGCGTTTTTATTAGAAAATAATCAACAAATTCGTTCGTGGTGTAACTTCTTGAGAGATTAAGAGAGAAAGAGAGAGAGAGAGAGAAAGAGAGAGAGAGAGAGAGAGAGAGAGAGAAAGAGAGAGAGAGAGAGAGAGAGAGAGAGAGAGAGAGAGAGAGAGAGAGAGATAGAGAAAGGGGGTGAAGAAGGGTGCGAGGCGAGCGGCAATGCTGGCAAGTTCCTTACGAGGGTGCCAAAGCACGGAAGCAAGGGTAGTTTCGAGGTCGAATCTAACGCAGAACAGGAGGAGAGGAGGTGGGGATTTGTTGTACGATAGTTCGGACGATCTATGAGCCGAGTTCGCTAAGAGATCACGAAAGGGGTGGATTTACTGGTCCATCCCGCGTTCACACCACACAAATCCAAGTGACCGCCTTAGGACCGACAATACCCCCCTCCCCTCCCCCCACCGTCCCATCTTCTTCTCCCCACCGTTCCCCCCGTACCCCCTTTCAAGCCCCCATACCTACTTTACCCTACCCTTGTCTCTCTATTTCTGCGACGCACGTCTCCCAAAGTTATTTACGTATTCTACCGAGCGTAAATTCGTAGAGAACTACACTTCGAAGATTGTTTGGATTTTATTGTTACTTGGTGTTTTATGCGTTAATTATACGTCACAATTCGTTATCAATACGAAACATATTTCTTTATTATTATTATTATTATTATTATTATTATTATTATTATTATTATTATTATTATTATTATTATTATTATTATTATTGTCATCATCATCACCATGATTATGGTTATTAGTTTTTTTTATTCTCATTTTTATTATTATTATTATTTCAATTTTAATTTTAATTCTTTCATTATCATTATTATTATTATTTGAAATCAATGGAAATATTATTATTATTATTATTATTATTATTATTATTATTATTATTATTATTATTATTTTGATTATTTTTCTTTTGATTATTTTTCTTTTCCCTTTTTCATCATCATCATCATCATCATCATTATTATTATTATTATTATTATTTCACTTTTGATTTTAATTTTTTCATTAATCATTATTATTATTGTTCGAAATCAATGTAAACATCGTCGCGTTAAATTATTACATTCGTCTGTTATTTATTGACGTTCGATGCGAGAATAGATGAATTTTCATTATTCTTTTTCTTTATCTTTTTATTCCTTTCACGTAATAAAACGCACGAAGAAAGTTATTCTTACATTATGTAATGCTTATATTTAATTAACATTGAAAATATGTACATGAACGGGACGTGACTTAGGTCTGTTTTTTTTTCTCTTTTTCTATTTTCTTTTTTTTTTCATTCTTTCTTTACTAAGGGGTCTTACAACCCCCTTCCTCCTTCTCCTCCTCCTCTTTTACTTATTCTTCTTGTTCTTCTTCTTCTTCTTCTTCTTCTTATTATTATTATTTCGCAAATCGTTTTTTGGTTTATGGCAGGTTGCATGTGGAGTTGAAAAGAAAAGCGAGGCTCGTTAGTTCCGTGAGATATTAATTATTTGCCCGCCATTGCCGCGACCTCTCGGAGTAATGGTGAAAAATATCTTAGGATTGTATAAGGGAGGAAGTGGGGAGTAGGAGAAAGTGGAGGGAGATGGGTGCGGGGGCGTGGAGAAAAAAGGTTGAGGTTATGGGATGGATTTACATTACGAAAGACGACGGGATTTAAAGGTGGTGAGAAGGAGGTGAGATGGAGAGAAAGAGGAAGTGAGAATTGGTATGGCGAAAGTAATAGCAGGTGCCACCAAGCCGGAAAAGAATAAGAACTAACGCGTATCGGTGTGTGCCTCGTTAGATTTAAATTGGAGGGAATGACTGAGTGTTTCACGTTATTCATACGAAATAATATAGAAAAATAAATATTTTCTACTTCTCGAGCTTCGTCTACTTCACTCTCTCTCTCTCTCTCTCTCTCTCTCTCTCTCTCTCTCTCTCTCTCTCTCTCTCTCTCTTTCTGTCTTTCTCGTTCCCTCTCTTACTTCGTATTATAATTGACGAAGAGAAAAAGGCATACAAGCCTATTTAATCATTGTTCATGAAGAAGAAACGTAACATAAAAAACATGTTACTTTTTTTCTAACGTTTGCATTACATCGAATGTTGTTGTTTATTACAGTACGATGATGAAATTACAACGACGTGTAAATAGTTTGCTCGAATCATTTTTTTTCTTTTTTTTTTTTTTTTTTTTTTTTTTTTTGGAATCGCTCGTTCTTGCGCTATTTTACTTCCCAACGATTTCTTATTTTTTTTTTTTTTTTATTATTTTCTCCTTTTTGTTGTCGCGAAAAAAAAATATGGGAAAAAGAAGAAAGAGAAATAAGAAAAAAAATCAAAAACACCATCCTTAAAAAAAAAAAAGAAGAAAAGAAAGAAAAAAAAAATCATACACATCATCGTTCATTTACGGCATTCGTTTCAGTCTCTCGAATTTTGTCTTCTTCATCTTTTTTATGTTAGATAAATCATAAATTTGAATGTTTGGACAATTCGATGAAAACGATTAAAATCTAGAGAGATAATAATTGAATCATCGTGAAATATTATGGGTGACATTAGCGTATCGTCTATTAAACGACGTTTACCTAACTCGTTGCCGCATTGGCCTTTAACCTACTCTCTCTCTCTCTCTCTTTCTCTCTCTCTCTCTCTCCCTCTCTCTCTCTCTCTCTCTCTCTGTAGGAGGAAAACCACTAACGTGGGTTGGTTCGGGTAGTTCGAGCCGGCCGCTGTGGTGGTCGCTTCTCTAAGATCAAGTGCTTTCCAGTACCGCACTAAAGCCAAACCCCCCCATTTTCTACTCTCACCTTCCCTCCCACTCTCTCTCTCTCTCTCTCTCTCTCTATCTCTCTTTCTCTCTCTCTCTTACTCACAGTCACTCACTCTCTCTTTCTCGCTCACTCTCACAGTCTTTCGAACGAGTCCATAAGTCCGTTCTATTCTACTGTCCAGGAAGAGGGGAGGGGGGCGGATTGATAAACCAACCACCCACCCTCTTTCCTCTTCCCTCTTTCCTCTTCGCCGGTTAAATTCTTGTGGCCGGCCACGGCCAACTTCTACAGTGGTTCTCATTTCCGAAAAAGATATCCTCATTATTGTCTATAATATTTAATATACATTGGATATATCGAAAACGTATCGATTTAATTCTTTTTATTATTCACTTTAAATAATCAATTGATTATTAATATTTTTAATAATTATACACAAGACTGAATAGATCTTGCAATTTTATTTTATTTTATTTTCTCTCTCTCTCTCTCTCTCTCTCTCTCCTTTTTTTTTCTTTTCTTTTTTTTTTTCAAGGGGTTGACGAAAGAAGACGCGAATAAACATTAATTCCATTGTTAATTATAATATTTATATTTTTAATAATTACATACAAGACAGGACAGATCTTTCAATTTTACTTTATTTTATTTTATTTCTTTCTCTCTCTCTCTCTCTCTCTCTCTCTTTCCTTTTTTTTTTCAAGAGATTGACGAAAGAAGACGCGAATAAACATTAATTCCATTGATAAAATTTTCTACACACACACACACACACACACACACACACACACACACACACACACACACATATATATATCGTTTTTGAGATTAATCGATTTCTCGACTCTGTTATTGAATGAAATAATATGTACGTAGAAAAGGTTACGAAAGATTTGACGAAATAGATATAGTAAATAAGCATTGTCATTGTTACGAGATATTCCGAAGTGAACTTGGTTTCGATCGTACGTACGTATATACAAAACAATGTAGTATACAATGAATAACCTCGGAGAAGGACGCTGTAAACGTGACACGTTTAGTCACAGTCTCGCTACGACAGCCATAACGTACGGACACGGACGTAAAGTAATAGAAATCTTTCATTAAGAATAATTCTACGAATGAAATCATTTCTTTATCGTTATTAATTTATCGTAGATAGAATCAATCATTTTCGATTATGCAACGATAGTGTGTCGACATTGAAGAAAGGAAGAAAAGAATAATACGTATTTTTACGTTTAACAAGTTCATTTATATATCGTATATGTATGTATGTAATATTATAAAATACGATTAATGTTTGTATGTATCTTTCTCTCACACTCTTCCTCTCTCTCTCTCTCTCTCTCTCTCTCACTCTTTCTCTCTTATCTCTACGATATGTAAGAAGAATTGACGCAAGAGGAGTAGGATTCAAGGACTTCGATAGAAGTCGTGCCTGACGGCCCGTTCAGACGTCCCTAGGGTTGTGAAATAGAGTCGATCCAGAGTGAGTGAAAGAGAGAGAAAGAGAGAGAGAGAAAGAGAGAGCTCGTAAGTTTGCTCCTCTCGTTTTCGCGTGAGAATGACGTCGTAACGAGACAATGTTATCCATCGTGGGAGTAGTTGTCCCTGAGAGAACAAATATTGTAATATAGAAC